AGATAGATAGATAGAACAGAAAGACTTAGATGGATAGGTATAGATGATACATAGATGTGATGATAGAAGAGAGATAAGAGAGAGAAATGATAGCTACAACTTGACAAAAACTCCTAATAAAAATATCTAAAAGCAAACAGTAACTCGTGTAAATGCATTTTAAAAATACGGTTCCATCTCCATCTTTTTCACATGCACAAGGAAGACTATGCATGGGTACTGTAAAAATGAAATGACCAAAATAAAGGACAAAAGTTTGTGAAAATGACATCAATGCAAAGGGCAGTTATCTGAAATCAAGGGCTGTCCCTTAGAGTCAAGGAGGGATGGCTTCTGTAGTGGTTAGTCCACTGGGTCTGATTTTTCGAGGCCGCCCAGCCCGCCCAGGAGATTTTTCCCACGGTTTCTCGGCTGTCCTGTCCCGTTTTTTCTCCTTTCCCTCAAGCCCAACTGGCTGCGCCGACTCTCTCTGGACTGCCTCCCTTCCGTAGAAGCTCAAAGCGCTTCCCTCCCTCCCTCCCTTGGCAGAACCAACATTCGCAGCCTTGTTCTCTGGGCTTCTCTGCGTCTCCGGCTGGACATTCTTGATGCATTACTTAATTGTTGTCTGAAAAGGCCCTGCTGCTGTGTGGGGATGTGTGTGTGTGTGTGTGTGTGTGTGTGTGTGTGTGTGTGTGTGTGTGTGTGTGTGTGTGTGTGTGTGTGTGTCTTTGTGCAGGCATGTCTGCTGGAATCAAGGATAGTGAGGAATTACATATGTGGGCATCAGCAAAACTAGTCATTCCCATTCTCGGTCTCTCTCTCTCTTTCTCTGTGACTCTGTCTGTCTGTCTCTCTCTCTCTTTCTTTCTGTCTTTGTCTCTCTGTGTCTCTTTGTCTCTGTCTGTCTCTCTGTCACTGTATTTGTCTCTCTCTTTCTGTCTCTATCTGTCTGTGTGTGTCTCTGTCTTTGTCTTTCTCTGTCTCACTGTGTCTCTGTCTCTGTCTCTCATTCTCTCTGTGTTTCGCTCTCTCTGTCTCTCTCTCTCTTTCTGTCTCTCTTTCTCTGTGTGTGACTCTTTCTGTCCGTCTGTCTCTCTGTCTTTGTCTCTGTGTCTTTTTTGTCTGTCTCTCTCTCTCTGTCTGTCTGTGTCTCTCTGCCTTTGTATTTGTCTGTCTCTGTCTGTCTCTGTCTTTGTCTCTGTCTGTCTGTCTCTCCCCCCTCTGTGTGTCGCTCTCTGTGTATGTGTGTGTGTGTCCCTCTCTCTGTCTCTTTCTCTCTGCTCAAACTATGGGTTTGGGGTGTGCCTTGGAAGGAAAGGAATGGGGGAGGGGCTTCTGGGGGAGTTGGGGTCACTAACAGCTCAGGAAGCCCTTGAGAGAACGAGATGAATCAGTCCTAAGAAATGACGAGAGCAGCAAAACAGAAACTATGAAAAATCATACCTGTCTTAGGTCAGATGATGTTTGACAGCCCAGCTGGATGGCTTCACTCCCAAAGATGGCATCTGCAATCCAAGCTCTGTGTGTGTGTGGGGGGGGGGGTGTCGGTCTTTGGCAGCTTCATTTGGTCATGCCATGCTTCTGAAAGCAAATAGAGGTTTTATAGGCACCTGGCACAATGTTTGATTGGCGGTCTTGGGTACCCACAGTAAAGAGGATTTGATGACCATGTTTTCTTCACAGTGTTGAAGAAACGGTTTGGCCCTCCCTTTTTTGGGGGGGCTGTTTTTTTTTAACTTTCCGGTCGATTGTTTCCCAACTTTGGCAACTTTTTTTAGATGAGTGGACTTCAACTCCCGGAATTCTCCAGTCAGCTATGCTCTCTTTGCTCAACCTATGTATTTTGGGGGTGACTTGGAAGGGGGAAAATGGGGGAGGGCTTCTGGGGGAGTTGGGGCCATCCAGAGTTCAGGAAGCCCTTGTGCAGGAGGGAAGGAAATGAATAAGTCCTAAGAAATGACTAGAGGGGAGGAAACAGAAACTGGCAAAAGAGATGCTAAGAAAAAAAACAATAACCGAAAAATAGCTGGCTGGAGAATTCTGGGAGTTGCAATCCACCCGTCTTAAATTTTGCCAAGTTGAAAAACACTGTTCCAGTCTGAATCCACAGCACAAAGCTTTCCTCGTGGTCTCCCATCCAAGGACAGCCCTTTGCTTGTCATTCCCTTCTAAAACAACACGTGTAACTTTAGATCAACCTTGTCAACTTTAAGACCTGTGGACTTCAACTCCCAGAATTCCTCAACCAGCAGGCCTGGCTGAGGAATTCTGGGAATTGAAGTCCACAAGCCGAGCTGGCTGAGGAATTCTGGGAATTGAAATCCACAGCTGAGCTGGCTGAGAAATTCTGGGAATTGAAGTCCACAAGTCTTAATGTTGACAAGATTGAGACCCTGGCCTTAGATTATATTAGCCGCTGAATGAAATTTGTCTGTCTTTCAGCTTCCGGTGGGACCATGTCAGAAGTGATGCTGCCACCTCGAAATGACCAGAAGCCTCCCCTGATGGGGAAGGCAGAGGCTCAGCCAGGCCGCCGGACCCCTCCAACCTTCCCCCCAGCAGCCCCACCTCTGCCAGCTGCAGCTGTGACACTGCCAGCTCCAAATGAACTCCCCAGTGCCAAGAATCCCACCACACCAGTCTCAGAAGCAAGTTCTGCCTTCCAGATTTGCCAGCCCAGCCCCCTGGAAGCTGACCCACTTCCAGAAGCAGAAAGCTTGCCCCCTAAGAGTGATCGCCCCCCACCCATTGGAGCCCCGAGTCCGCCTCACACGGAGGAGATGCGTGGCAGTGCCCGCCTGCCACCCAAGAGCGAGCAGCCTCCCCTTGCCCAAAGTTCACCCACTCCCAGGGCAAAACAAGGTAGGTTTTGTTGTAGGTGGAACCAATCTACAGAGGGGATCTGGGGGGGATGCCTGGGACATTGTTGCCCGCAAATCATAAGGGCCAAAAAGTCTATTTTTTAAGTTAAGCAAACTAATTGTCTCCTGCAAACTCCACTCCCCTTTCGCTCCTCTTTTATTTCCTCTGGGAGGGGCCATTCATTGTCCACTTGTGGCCTTACTCCCAAGTCAACCCCTGTTCTTTAGCTGCTCCCTTCATCTGGCAACTCTGCGCATGCGCACACTGGGAACAGGCTCCAGCTGTTCGTCTGCCTCACTGATGTCTGACTCTGAAAGCAGCTGATAACTGTCAAGACAGCTCTGTCCCCTTCTCTGCCTCTGACACAGAGCCCTCATCCGAGCCTTTCCCAGACTCCAGGACTGGCTCGTGTTCCTCCCCAACCTCCTCACTGTCTGAATCTGCTGCCATCTAACATCCCCTTCATTCTTCTGATGCCTTTGTGTTCTCCTTCCAGATTCTCAGAAGGCCCAAGCAAGACACAGGATGGCCCGAGAACGTCGTGAAGAACGAGCCAAACATCTGGGTAAGAAGGCCATTTAACATCTGCACCACAAACTTTGTGAAAGGGGTCGTCTCACTGAGCCATGTCAGGCCTTGGAATCCCGATTTACACTCTGATTCTTTCAGTTTGACTCGGCATGACTAGATTCCTCTCTTGCCCAGCCCTCCACACAAAGGATGGAGATGATGGGAGCTGCCATCCAATGCATTTAGTTGTCTTTTGGAGTCATATCATTGAGCCCCATCCTTTGGCCATTAAAACCAGATTTATGGTCTAGTTCCATAATGGCGAACCTATGAAACCCTCTCTGCGGGCACGCCAGCTGTATCATGCATGTGGGCACACCTCCCACCAGCCATTTGGACTTCAGGTCCCTGCCTGTGTGTGGGGCAGGCTGCATGCGTTGGGGTGTGTATGCTCACATTGCATTTTGGGGCCCCACACCCAATTTTGGCTTCCAGGTTGGTGCAGGAGACCTTTCAGGGCCAAAATGGGGCACGGGGGTGCCATGCGAGGACCTGAAAAGCCTGCTGCACCACCCCAGAAGGAAAAATTGGGTGAGGAGGGCAGGTTACATGCGCAGAGGGGCAAGGGACTGCGGGGGGTGGCACGCACATGCCAAGGGACTGCGCATGCATGCACAGGGAGCGGTACATACAAGGAGGTCAGACATGCAGGGGCAGGGGGTCGCACATGCATTGCATTATGGGTGCGGGCACTTGCACACGTGCATTCTTGGCACGCAATGACAAAAAGTTTAGCTGTCGCTGATCTAGTTATTTCACTTTCTTTTTCAACCTGGTGTCCTCTAAACGATCCGACCAGGTTCCTATCCACACAGAGGATGGGGATGATGGAAATTGTCATCCAGTCACAAGGAGACTCCAGATTCAGGAAATTCTGCCCTTGTTCTCTTTGAGACTAAGCCTAACAGGGGGGAAAAATCAAGACTAACATGCTTTTCTTTCTCTTGTACTCTTGGCCAAGACACTTAGTGTTTGTGGTGGATTGTGAACAAAATGTTCTTTCATTCTTTTCTCCCGAAAAGGAGAATGAAAGTGGGGAAGCATCTCCAAATGACTGGATTTACACAGAATATATTAAGTCATGGAAAGGATTTGGGGATCTCCCCACCCCCACCCCCGTGAATCCCAAAATTTGAATTTATCATTTACTTGAATGTTTTCTTCCTCCCCCACCTTTTAAAAAAAGAGGAATTCTAGTGTTGTTGACAGTTAAACATAACAACAAAACCAATCGCTGCAAATCAAGTGTAATATTTTCCTATCAGAATTGTAGAAGAATTTAGTTAGTTCTCATCCCCCTCAATCCGTCATTCAAGGCATTTGGTTACATTCCCAAAAAAATGGGGATAAAGTCCCCCAAAAACCATAACATAAAATCCGTTAATATATAAAATCAAGTAAAATATAGTACCAATCAGAGTTTTCAGAGTGGTGTTCGGCCAGTTTTGAGCAGTTTGCCCGAACCGGTAGCAGAAATCACAGGTGAGTCCGCCCACCCACTCTGCTCTATGCTGTCCTATATAGGCACGTTTTTGAGGGTGGGTGCATGCATGGAAGGTCCGTATGCGAACAAAACGCATGCTCAGAAGTCACACACACAGCGAACCAGTGGTGATGAAATGTGCAACCCACCGCTAGTACCATTTCCAACAGCTTTCTTCTACATCTTAGACAGAAGGGTTCCTGGCGATAATGCAAATCACTCAGGAGCTTCAGAAACAGCTGGTCCAGATAAACCAGGTGATGAATCCTTAGGTTGAATCTATTCTGGAGAAAATCAGAATCAGTTTTAATGCTGCAACAGCTCAAAAATTGGCTTCCTCAAATTGGCTATCATGAGATGCTTACCGTATTTTTTGGAGTATAAGACACACCGGAGTAGAAGATGCAGCAAGGTTTTGAAGAGGCAAATTTTTTAAAAACAAGTTTTTGCACTCTGCAATCCCCCCCCCCCAAAATGGCCTGTTTTTCCGAAAATGGGCCCAGCTTTTTTTTTCAAAAAAGGGCATGAATATGAATAGCCTTTAGGAGGCTTGTAGAGTGCTCCTGGGGGGTTGGGGCCCCCAAAACGAGCAAAAAAGGCCCATTTTCACAAAAACTGGCCCATTTTTTTGTAAAAAAAAGGGCATGGATAGCCTTTAGGAAGCTTATAGAGTGCTCCTGGGGTCTGGGGGGGCAAAAATGGGCCGTTTTTCACTCATTTCTGCCCTCCCCAGCCCCCGGACCTCTCTGAAAGCCTCCTAAAAGCTATGCATGGCCATTTTGGTGAATGGGGCAGCGTTTCGGAGGCCAAAAATGCTGTATTCAGTGTATAAGATGCACCCAGATTTTCGGCCTCTTTTTTGAGGGAATAAGGTGTGTCTTATACTATGAAAAATATGGTACCCACCTCACATCTCTGATTCTGGGTAATTTTCAATTCAAACAGAAGCAGGTTCAACAAACCAAAAAATAAAACCACCACACAAACAGCATAAAACGTTGAAAAGATAGCTTATTTGACTCTTTTGTTCAAGCCCATTATACTTATATTTACATTATTTTTAAATTTCCTGTTCAGAGGTGGTATTCAGCCAGTTTGGACTGGTTCGGGTAAACCCATAGTGGGCACCTGCCACTATCCCGCTCACACACACACTCGCCCAGGCTTCATGATGTCCTATGTAGCCTTGTTTTTGACAACCCCACAAGCGAAATGCATGCATGAAAGGCCACGGGCATGCGTGGAGGGTGCGGGAGCTCACATTTGCAAACTGGTGGTAAACTTCTGTGAATCCCACAACTTTCCTAGGTGTATGTTTTTCATGGGTGAAATCAGTGTATCTCAATCATGGCAACTTTAAGGTGTCTGGGTTTCTTAGAGCTGGGAGTCCAGACAGCTTAAAAGTGCCAAGGTTGAGAAATATTGGGTTATCTATGATCCAATATTTTCTCTATATTTTTGAAGCATTAAAAACAGGTCTTGAAATAGGTCCCTGCATAAACAGCATGTCTGAAAACCAGGCAAGATTGCAATGGGGCCAGAATCCCAGATAATATCTTTCAAGTTAAACAGTAACTGAAGAATGCCTAGCAATAAACCTCAAAAGATGGAAAAGTAAACTCATCTTTGAGAACAGATAATTGCACTTTACAAAGCAACAAGCTTGCAAGATATCGTTGCTGACGAAATGTGTTCAAGGGCAAAACCTTGTAAATTCCATTCAACCAATATGATAGGATAATCCTATTTGCTCAATATCCAGGTAAATTCGTGTCCAATAGCTATTCCAAATTCACATATTAAGAAATAGGAAGATTGATTGCTGAACCTGCTATAAAACATAATAACTGAATAATAAAAAACTGATGCTCTTTCCCTTCCTACTGCATGGGATATATTCTGAATTTCTAATCATTTCAGGCAAGGGGTTCATTTCAGGCAAGGGGTTCTGAATTAAACATAATTGGCAACATAAATTGCCCCAAATAAAGAGAAGCCCAAATAAATTTCTCTCTCTCTCTCTCTCTCTCACACACACACACACACACATATACACAGGAACCATATCAAAACCTTTGGAAACTTTCAGCATCCACAGAAATCAGGGAAAATCTTGTATATTTTCAGTTACAGCAAGAACATCCATTTTTATTTAAAGTTGGTAGTTTGTATAAGCCTGGCCCTAACCTAAGTAGGATCCATTATTCTTGGAAGAGGCCCTTGGAATTACTGGCTAGAATTCAGGCATCATGTTCATTCTTTGTTCGCTCAACCAAGTCTTTATTCTCTAAATTGTAATTGTTGGGTTCTCACAACATTCTGCATCAAAGCTGGTTTCCCGTTCAGTGTGAACTTATCCTTTGGGAAAATCATGTGTGGGAAGAAACTACAAGCCCTTTCCTTCCTTCCTTCCTTCCTTCCTTCCTTCCTTCCTTCCTTCCTTCCTTCCTTCCTTCCTATCTTTCTACCTCCCTCCCTCCCTCTATCCATCCATCCATCATTCCCAATATCTTATAGATATATTGGACTACAATTCCCATCATTAGCGCTTTCACTTTTCCTTCCTCCCTCCCCAATGTCTTTCTAGGTTTATTGGACTATGATTCCCATCGTTAGCTCAATGCTGGAGAACCTCAACTGCCCAGTTAGCCTGTGTCTCCCTCCCCCACCCCAGTGTGTTCTGAAAGGGAGGGGGGGAATGAATGGGAGAGAATGGGAACTCATGGATCCTGGGGTGGCTTAGCCTTCTGTCATGCCTTTCAGGGGGATGCGAAGCCTTCCAAAGGCCAAAGCTTCTGGCCCTCTCAGTTGCTCTGGGGCTCTGGGAAGACCTCTTGCCTAAGGAGGCTCCTTTTCGCCAACTGGCAGATCTGTTGCCTTGCACTCGGCAGGGTGGTCTTTTCTGCTCCAGGGCCTCCCTCTAGCCCCCCCAGCTCTTCCCTCCCAGCAGTGGGGCTTCACCCTGTGCCCCTTTCCACTCTCCTTCCCCAATTGTCTGGCCTGAATGCGCTTTTAAGTGCCGCTTCCCATTTCTTTTGTGTTGAGCCTTTGGGACCCCTCCCCTCCCTCCTCCTCTCTTGCTTTCTCCCCTCTGGCTCAGCAGCTGTCGCCAGCTGTGTGGGTCACTCCTGAAGCTGGAGATGGAGTTGCTGCAACACTTGTTCCCCTATCCTCCCTCTCTCCTCTCTTATTCTTTCGTTCCTTCTTTTGTCCCTCTTTCTTTCTCTTTTCTTCCTTCTTTTCCTCCTTCCTTCTGTCTTTCTTTTTTCTTTCCTCCCTTCTTTTCCCTTCCCTCTTTCCCTCCCTTTTTCTTTCTTTTCTCCCCCCTCCCTCTTTTTTTCTTTCCTCCCTCTTCTTTCTCCTTTCTTCTCTCCCTCTTTCTCTTTTCTTCCTCCTTCCTTCCCTCTTCCTTTTTTTCTTTCCTCCCTCTTCTTTCTCCTTCCTTCCCTCCCTCTGTTTTTCTCACTTCTTCCTTCTTTTCTTCCTTCCTTCCCTTTTTCTTTTTTCTTTCCTCCCTCTTCTTTCTTCTTCCTTCCTTCCCTCATCCCTCCCTCCCACTAGACTCTTTCAGGGTGCTCAAAATCAGCATGTGCAAAAATTTTAATTTTTAATAAAATAAATATGGATCAATAGAATCCTTATAAACACACACATTTTGTGGGGTATAATGTTGAAAATGGAAAGAATCCAGAAAGAAAGAAAGAAAGAAAGAAAGAAAGAAAGAAAGAAAGAAAGAAAGAAAGAAAGAAAGAAAGAAAGAAAGAAAGAAAGAAAGAAAGAAAGAAAGAAAGAAAGAAAGAAAGAAAGAAAGAAAGAAAGAAAGAAAGAACAGTTTAAAAAACAGGGCTGTAAATAGAAGGTGTGGGATCCTTGGTGCTCTCTGAGCCTCGTTGTTTTCTTGCAGACGTTTCATTACCCATCTAGGTAACATCCTCAGTGCTAAAGCTGGTTGAGGTGCCTTTTACAGGGTGGGCTTCATCCAGCTGGTTCTATCAAAAATGCAAAAGCACCACATTTCACGCGGAGCTAATGTGCTCCAGGAGTGAGCCTGTGGGCTTCCTGGGTGGGAGGCATTCTGTGTACGGTGCCTCTAAACCTCGCTGTGTCTCCTTCTCTCTTTGATCCCCCGTGAGCAGCTGCCAAGCGGGCAGTGTGGCTGGAGAAGGAAGAGAAGGCCCGCATGTTGAGGGAAAAACAGCTGGAAGAGCGACGGAGACGGCTGGAAGAGCAGCGAGTGCGAGCAGAGAAGCGGCGAGCCGCCCTGGAAGAACGCCAGCGCCAAAAGATGGAGAGGAACAAGGTCAGTTTGAGATGTTCTCAAGTTGTGGGCCAGCAACGTTTGCTCACTCCAAGGCTACATTGCCCTGAAAGGTAAACCAAAGCAAAGGCAGCTTGTTTCCTCCACGCTGCCTCTCCCACTTCTATTGTTCTTGTTGCTAGTTGCGAAGTCATGTCCGACCCATCGCAAACCCATGGACAATGTTCCTCCAGGCCTTCCTGCCTCTACCATCCTCTGGAGCCCATTTATGCAAGCACACCCCTAAGTTGCATGATTGGCAACTGAAAATATGGAATTAAACCTCCACCTTTTCCCCTTTTATGGGACACGGTGGCTCAGTAGCTAAGCTGAGCTTGTCAATCAGAAAGTTTAGCAGTTCGAATCCCTAGTGCCGCATAATGGAGTGAGCTCCCGTTACTTGTCCCAGCTCCTGCCAACAGTTAGCACTTCAAAAGCAGGTAAAAAATGCAAGTAGAAAAATAGGGACCACATTTGGTGGGAAGGTAACAGTGTTCCGTGCGCCTTCGGCATTTAGTCCTGCCAGCCACATGACCACCGAGATGTCTTCAGACAGCGCTGGCTCTTCGGCTTTGAAACAGAGATGAGCACTGCCCCCTAGAGTTGGGAACGACTAGCACACATGTGTGAGGGGAACCTTTACCTTTACCTTTTCCCCTTTGTGTTCAGGAGCTCTACGAAGCCGCCATCCAGCGCTCCGTGAAGAAAACCTGGGCTGAAATCCGGCAGCAGCGGTGGTCGTGGGCTGGGGCGCTGCACCAGGGCTCCCCCGTACACAAGGAGGGTGAGTGGAGGCCCTGCTTAGCTTGTAGGACACAGCTCTCATATTCCTTGGGGGAACAGCAAGCACAACGGGCGTGGTGCAGGGGGGGGAGGCTTGGTGCCTTTTGCACGGCTGGGCACTTTTGCACGCGCATGTCCTTGGGACAAGGAGGGGCTTCTGCACCCTAGTTTATAGTTTGAAATTATAAGGCAATTCCTTCCCTCCCTCCCTCGATCCCTTTTCCACTCTTCCTATCCTTTCTTTCTTTCCCTCTTCCTTCCTCCCTTCCTTTTCTTTTCTTCCTTCCCTCCCTCCATTCCTTTCCCACTCTTCCTATTTCTTTCTTTCTTTCTCTTTCTCTTTCCTCCCTCTTTTCTTTCTTTTTCTTTCTTTTCTCCCTCTTTTCTTTCTTTCTCTTTCTTTTCCTCTTCCTCCCTCCCTTTTCTTTCTTTCTGTCTGTCTTTCTTTCCTTCCTTCCTTCCTTCCTTCCTTCCTTCCTTCCTTCCTTCCTTCCTTCCTTCCTTCCTTCCTTCCTCTGCATATAGAACAGCAGTGCATTTCTT